TTACTCTTGACATTTAAAGAAATGTAAATGGCTGAGATATTTAACAACAAACCTTGGCTCAGGCATGATATTTCATAAAGATTTTTGCTATGACAGTCAAAACTCTGTACATTTGCTGTACATATAAAGCTGCCTAAATAATTTTTGCAGTCAATTCACTTTTGAAAAACCTTTAACAGTACATACAGTACATTAAAAGCTACTTTCTCTATTATCTCGGTAATAACAGAGGTTATATAACCTACCATAAAAGATTTCTCATAAAAGAAGAAAAGAAATGGGAACCTTTACATACAAAACAATCTATATTTAAAGACCTGTCAGGGTTGTGTCAGAAATGACAGAAGCCAGGAAAATCAAAATGGCACTGACATTCTGATCTTAATTCTCATAATTTTCAAATGGCAAGTTATGATATAGCATCTGTTTAAACTTTGAGTTTCGTGGATTTTCTTACAGGATTAGGGCCTGATCTTGGAAAAACATGCACCTGCTTTATTTCATGCACTATGAACTGTTCCATTAAGCTGAATGCTTCTGATCAAGTTGGCTGTGGCCTATAGAAAAGAGCTCATGTCTTAGTTTGTAGGGTGCTGCCCTGCCTTTCGTTTTGGTTATTCTTGAAAGAGGTCCTATTCTGACCAAAAGGTTCCATGTCAGGACTTCATTATGTTTCATATTACAGCACTATGCCTGATGGCACATTAATGGAGGGATAAAGCAGAACAAAACAAAACTGATGTTTGATTTCACACTGAAATTTTTTCAGCTGTTGTCTTCATTTTATACCAGCTGGAGCCCCTTTCCAGATTTTAGAGTCTGATCCTCAAATTGTAGAATGAGAACTTTTAGTACCTTCCAAGAGGTGCTAGGAACTTTGTCAATTCAGACTGTAAGTTCTCCTTATAGTCTGGTCTGCCACTATCAGCTCACCTGCTTTAGTCAGGTGACTCTAGGTATGCTTGTCTTTAAAGTGTTTGAATGCTGGGCACTTGTATATTCTTGCTTCAAAGCTTGCTTCTGTCTTTAGTGGAACTTGAAGGTACTCAGCATCTAAGGGGATACATTAAAGGCCAGATTAAAAAAATCATTTGGTACCTAATGATTCAGAAAAGTGTCTCAAGCCCATATCTTGAAAAAATATCAACAGAGCTCAATAATCAGTTGAAAATGCTCAAAATTCTTAAATCACACTTGGGTTCAGTGTTGTTACATCTACCTGTTGGACACACAGTGTAGGCCAGAGAAAAAACAATAGCCTGGTATTTGGGCGCTGACCTGAGCGTTCAGGGTTCTACTCCTACTTCAGTGAATATTCATTTTATACAAAGCAAAACATCTTCACTAGGAGACCTTGAGGGATACCCACCTCACCCACCTACCCTGCAGCCTAGTGCTGGAAACCCTTAGCTAGGAGGCTGGAAATCAGGGTTTAAAACCCTGGTGAGGGTGAAAACCAGACAGAGGAGGAGGTGGTGTGGGCAATAGTAGGAGCCCACCAGTAACTCTTCTGGTGGGCTCCTACCATAAAAGGTCCAAACCAGTAAGTGTTTTCAGAGCATGCCAGTGAGAAAGGCTGGGGAATGCCTACTCCAGAAAGGTCATTGGGCTCAGATGTTCAGATACTTTGCAGAATGCAAAAACTTGCAGTGGTAAAAACTTCCTGTCTGAAACCTAGGGAATTTAGGAACCTCAAGGACTGGGCAGATCCTTAGTGGAAGCTTTGAGAAGTCAGAGACACCAGAGCTGGCTATTAGGCTTGTCTGTATTGTGGCAGCAGCTAATCCTAAAGAGGATGGACCTAAGCAAGTCTCATCCACCCTAGTTGGAAAGCATACTCCAAGCTTAGGGCCTGAGGGTGTTCCCTGAGGATGAGCCCAGGGCAGTGTAAGTAGTGAATTTGTGGGTTTGGAGGATGTCGGTGAACTTGAATGGACTAGTCCTCAGGAGTAGCTACTGGAGAGGTATAGACAGGCCCTATGTGTCTTTGGGCTTGAACCTGAGGTTTTTATCTGCATTTTAGACATTTGAATACCTTTAGCCCTCCTAAAAGACCTGCTCCTCTTTGACCCCAGTGGAAAAAATCCCTATCAAACATGTGTGACTGAGTCTTGAAAGCATGCTGTTAAACATCTGAACCTGTAAACTTTATGAGCGGCCCCAAAAAACCGTAGCTATCTTTCAGCAAGTTGTCTTCTTCGAGTAAAACTCTTATAAGTAAAAGTTTTCAGGAACAAGCCCTAAATTATGTTGCCCACAGTAGCTACTAACTTTATACGCCTGAGCCTGCCAAAGCCCAATTGTGGGCCACTATATAACTGGGTATAGGAGGAAAATAATAGTTCAGGAAGCATTAAATGATGTGGGATTGCTTTCTTTGACATCAATAAGTATTTGTTTTATAACCTCATTTTCAGTTGCTTAGCATTTCTGATGTAAATAATTGACAGTAATATAGGATAGAGGGTCTAAAATGAAGCTAGTCTCTGGCAATAAAGACAGCTGAGAGGTATGGCAATTGGTGCAGTAGTTCAGTACTAAAGAGAGAGATGTCGTTAGTAGAATGTTACTGCTTGTTTATGGTCCAAAATGCCTAGGTAAAACTTCTGTAAAATACGGTGTTTGGGGAAGTTTTTTTGTCTGGCTCATGTGTGTGTGTGTTTTTAATAAGGATGCAAGTGCACCAGAAAGGCAGCAGTTGGCGTTGGTAATAAAAGGAACCAATGGGTTATTTTGAACCCAGTGATAGGAATCTGGGTTCTTCCATAGTAGGACATGATGATGTCTCTCCACCATGTCATCCTTCTTGCAGTCAAATGTATAGGAATCCCACAGGAGACCTACTGATAGAGTGGATAGGATGTTGTGTCTGTGTTAATAAAAGTGACATAAAGACCCTTTCATTGGCGGGGACAGAAGGCAGCCAAACACCAGCAATACATTTTGGAATACTAATGATGCACCTCAGTTCATTTTTCCCCTTTAGGGTAAAAGATTCTGCATGGGTTCAGTTGGAATTTCCTTACTGTGACAGATCCGAGATGGGGAAAACAAATGGCCCTCTTCTAACAAGCATCTATGTGTAAAGGTAGGTGAGGTGGGTGTCCACTGGGGTCCTGTGCATAGGAGCTGCGTGGTTCCTACCTGCATTCCTACATGCTCTCAGCCGTGTTGGGCCAGCCTAGTGCCGAGGGGTCCAGCTGGAGAAGGCTGAGTTATTGGGCTGGACAGCTCTGCAAGTTTGAGCATTGCCGGGGAGAGGGCAGATGAACAAGAGGTACTTTTAGTGAACCTACCATATATATTTTTCCAGCATTCATCAGTAACAGCAAGTGGGAGCTGCATCCCATGTGGAGATGGGTTGCCTGCGACCAAACCGAAGTGGCCTCAACTCCTTCTTCTTTCCCGTGGGCAAAGAAATGAAGAACCCAGCAATGCCTTCTCTCCCCTCCCAACCTAAATCTACCTGGGAGCAGGGCATCGCTGCAGGCGGGGGGGGGGGGGGGGGGGGGGGGGGGGGGGGGGGGGGGGGGGG